ACTAGCAGAAGTGGTATTTCTTCTGCGGTTGTACACCCGGTCTTTGAATTCGGGGAGGGTTTGTTCCAGTAGACGAATTGCGGAATGTGCTCATAAAATTCTTGCATGAATGAGTTGCGAAAAACCACTGTTGGATCAGAATGGTCCAGCAGCAGAATGAACTAACGTCACGAGTTGGAACTGGGTACCAAGAAGTAGTCCCTCCTTGAGTGAGAAAGAGGATTCTCAAGCCAGGTTCAACCGTGATGTTCGCACTTTTTCAAAAATTTTGCCATCGATGCGACCTCCCACCACCATCACCATGAGACTCAGCCTCCCCCCCCTCCGCCCCCTTTCTCCTACAAAACGGCTGTCTAGGGGGAGGGGGGGGGGGCGGAGGGAGGTATCAGTGCAATAGAGCGCTAATTTCCATCCCACTCACACCCTGAATGCTACCCACTCCCCTTCCCAAATCAAGTGCGACCCCCTTGTTCGAATTGTGCGAACGCACTATTGACGCTGTTCCCGAGCGCACGAAGCGCGACACAAAAGTGCGAGGCAACGGCACTAAGGCCTTGCCTTGTGTGCTGCCGTGCTGCCATCCTTATCAATGCGGCATACGTGGTGTTTGCGCCCTCTCGCGTACGACGTGACGTGCTCTCTCGCGTTTTCCCTCTCCTCGCAGCGTTGTGTCCCTCCGTCATACCACTGCCGAACTCATAGGAGAAATTTGAGTGTTTTGAGCCTTTCTTCATTGCACTTTTTGTCTAGTTTTCGAACGAAACAGTACATCTACTTGATCCCGACCCGTGCCTTTAAATCATCTGAATTCTCGAAATTTAGACCCTCTGATCATACTTGGTGTATTGTTACCTGCGCAAAGAACAGCTTGAGCGTTAATTTACTTCGGCATGGAATGCACTATTGGATGAATTAGGACTAACTGACGCTTTAGTCGCGGTGACATTTAAGAACCCTGCACGTAGGTGTGAATCAGACTCTGGACACCCTGTCTTGTACATTTCTTCCGGATTCAAGTATTATCACTTTGCCGTGGCTTCTTACCAGACAATATTTTGCACATTTCTCAGGATTTCCTCTTCTGCTGCCCACGGTCGGGTTTGCTGGCGGTTTTGCGACGGATAGTGACGAATTATCGAAATTGTCGCAGCGGATTTCCAGATCTCACAGTTTGGGATACGGTAGCAAAGACTGTGGCGGTGAGTTGAGACATTTCTTGAGGTAATTAATTTGTTTAAATACATGGTCTCCTCAGGTGGTCGAGGTGAAAGGTCCAGGAGATCGGCTTTCAACGAAACAACGCCTCTGGCTGGATTTCTTTATGCGGCATGAGATCAGGGCATCCATTGGAATCTAGGCTGAAGTCTGTCATGTTGTCGGTAAGTTTTGGGGCGGTTCCTGTGGAGTTTTTGTACTAATTCATTGCCTTAATTCAGTCTGTATTTCAGCAAGAGTCGATCGTATTATTGCGAATAATTGAATTGAAGCGATTTGTTGCATTCACCTGCGTAGCAAAGTAATTTGGAAATGCGTTCTCTACCTTGTTTTTTGAACATAATGAAACGGGTATACCTCTACAAATTCTTACCGTATTTTGGCACGTTCCAATTACCCTCGTAAAAAAACCGAAACGCCTACTACCTCGGTTCTCATTAAGTTCGTCAGACGCTTTTTTACTCAAGCTATCTGGCTGCGCTGATTTTATCCCTTGGCATTCGTATACTTCGACAGGAGCATCTTGCGCGCGTAAGTGAGGAGGAGACGCGAGGCCTGCGACGAGTGCAGGTCGCACCGTAGCGATTTGGTCGTCAAGACAGAGTTTATTCAACACAGTCGCACAATACGTCTGCAAGCCGTCTTCGTCTGACCTATTTGCAATCCTGCTTGTGCCGTGCGACGAACCCTTGTCGTAGTCCTGATTATTCTGTCATTGTTCGATTCCTCGATGGGTGTACAGTCAAAAAGTCCGATTGCTTTCGATTCAGGTTAACTACACTAGAGAATAATATTTTCAGAACAATCAGTGAATTTCATATTAAAACTGGAAACCTCACTAATCCCTCTTCCCATCGGGTCATTTTGCCATGTAGAAAGAGTATCCTCTTCGTAAAAACAAGATAGTTTTACAGTTTGATATCATTGAACACCGATCAAAACGCCCAAGCTGTTTGTTAATTAGACGTTGATATCTGTCGCAATGCCATGTACGGGGAGGGGGCAATAAAAAAAGACATTTTGCCTCCATGCTCAAATGGATTTTTTGGCACTAATGACACTTTGCTAAATTCCAGTCGAGTGTTCCCATTTCAGAATTGAAGAGCGTACTCCATTTTATGGAGTAAAACATCATAGTGCCCTTCTGTGTGGGGCACTATGATGTTTTACTCCATGAAATGGAGTACGCTGTGGGCGACTCAGGAGAATTCTCTCCGGAAACATGGTGCACTGGTCGAGTTCACGGGCACTTGGCGGATTGTGTACCTACGACGTCTTCTGAGAAGCGGGTTCCGAGGGGTTCGCATATTCAGAGCTAATGTCTCTAGGAAACTATCCAACAGTTGAATCGATTCAAGAAATTATGTAAGAGCTTCAGGCTGAAGCAGTTACGGTAGGCCTCCTTGAGCTCGACGACGATGACAGATGACGTCATATTCTGAAGACGGTGAGGGCAGTGAAGGAGGGCCTGCGTCTACTTATAGAGGGACATTAGGAATATTTTGCTGAGAACTTCCGTCAACGACGGCAATCTCTGCGGCGAAAAAAAAAAACGCTGAAGTTGCGACACGGGCAAAATGTCTTTTTTGCCCCCCCCCCCTGCCCACTCATAGCAGATCTGAAACGCGGTTTTATTGTGGTCTTCCATGTTTTCATTCTCATAGTGGTATGTATACTGTATATATTTCTATTGATAAACCATTCGGGTTGCATTGGTTTCAGGTATCACGGTTTATACCACAATTTTTTCAGTAGTAGATAAATGGGTACAGTGATTAAAGTTACAAAGACGATTTCGTGCAGTTGAGTGAAAAAGCAATTATTAATTACATGGAAAAGAAAGAGAAGAGGCTTATTTTGCTGCCCCCCCCCCCCCCCACTGA